AATAATAAATTATATAATTAACTGATACTTTTAAATTTTAATAATACAAAGTGTTATGTTTTATTAATAAACTATAATAATCTTATATTTTTTTTAATGACTTGTACACGAATTTTAAAGTTAACACACTTGTGAAAATATTTAGAGAATAGTTTTTTCTCTAAATAAATAAGAACGATAGGACAGTGTGGTCGAGGCATAGTGTTGACGAGATACATATGGGACGAGTATAGATGATATCTGACAGTAATTAAAATCACTATTATAAGAAACGCTTCGATGCAAATCTGTAGATAGTGTTTAATTTTAAAGTAATTGGTGGATGATTAAAAAATCAACATCAATACTTATTTCTTTAATTATATGCTGATTAGTAGTTCTTTGATTTTAAAATATAATATATGAATTATAAATATTAAATTTAGTATAAAATTGATATTCAATAGTTTAATATAGTAAATTATACGGAGAAATGATAAAAATAATAAAGAAGTTATATTTTGCTTTACTTTTAAGTGTATGAAAATTTAAAGGGCTTGATGCAATATTTTTCAATAAAAACTGTTTGTTACTATAAATAAATGAACTGGACTATCAGGAACTTAATTAGAAATAATAGTAATCATTTTTAAGTAACTTTTGGTATTTAAAAAGATTCTACAATTGAAATATACAGAACTGAATTAATTTTAATGATTTACTTTAATTAAAAAAAAAGTTATCATTTTATCCTTCGTGTGGGCATGTAAAGGGTTAGATTTATAAAAAAAAACGAAATGATAGGTTGGTATCAAGTCACATTTTTGATGAAGTTAACTGTTAACAAAGTTATAAGTTTTTTACACTGGGCTACAAAGAACTTTCATCAAAACAAAAATATATTTTTCTAAATCAACTTTTTGTGATGTTTTAAATGTGCAATTAGGATTAAAAAAAAATAATTAATAACAGAAAAAAATGTTTTAAATTAATACTGATTTTTATTTTTAATATGTTAAAAATAAGGAAAATGACATATTTAACCTAATTTTTTAATCCTTTAAAGCTGATTTTTGTGAATGTTTATAATAAAAAAAAATAAATTTATTTTACCATAACTTTTAACTCATTTGGCAAGTTTGAAATTGACATCATTAAATAGGAAATTTTATGAGAATTAAAATAATGGTATTTTTAAGATAAATATGCAGTGAGGAATTTTTATAATTATTATTTACAGTATTTTTATCAGAAAATCTCATTATTTTTTTGCATTTTTATCGTATTAGGTAACTTAAATAGAAGTAATAGTAATAATTTCCTAATTACTTTTGGTGTTTAATAAATATAGTTTAAAAAACTAAAAAAACACGTTTTTAAAGCACATCGAACTAAAAAGTTAAAAATAATTTTTAAAATAAGATTAAAACAATAATGAACGAAAAGTACTAGTATTATTGTTTTAAGCTTATTTTAGAAATTATTTTTAACTTTTTAGTTCGATGTGCTTTAAAAGCGTGTTTTTTAAGTTTTTTTAAACTATATTTATTTTTTACTTTTTAGTTTCATGTTATGATAGTAGTTACTATCATTATCATGGTTGTGACGGGTAACGGGAAATCAGGGTTCGATTCCGGGGGGGGTGTCTGAGAAACGACTACCACATCCAAGGAAAGCAGTAGGCGCGTAAATTACTTACTTTCGACACGAGGAGGTAGTGACGATACGGGAATCATCCTTTGTAATCGGAATGAATACACACTATGTCTCTTGATGAGAATAAAGAGTGATAATATATATTTTTAATAGTAATTAGAATATATACAGGGTGTTCAGTACGTAAACGTATCATGCACTAGGTATAGCTGTGTTTTGTGGGCAAGCGGGGCGCGGGGGAATATTGTACGCGAGGCATATGCGGCGGCTGTAGGAATATATATATACACATACATACATACATATATATAGTAAGGCGACATCAGTACGTAATGGTATCATGCACTAGGTATAGACTTGTTTTGTGGGCGGGAGGGAACGTTATACCTAAGGTATAAACGGCGGCAGCGGCGGTAGGAATATATAAATATATATACGTAAGGCGCATTACATGCGGGCGGTATTGGTCAGTCAAAATAAAAATTTGTTTATATATATATATAATTGATGTCACGCACGCGTGTACGGGTACGAAAACCAAAAGCATAAAATTATACAGAATTAGTGTTGCCGGTGATTGGTGAGCGGGGTGGTGTGAATGCGTTACGACGTCTAGTCTAGACGACGGAATACGCGAGAACAATAACACGTGCCGCTTGGAAAGTTACAAACACACATCACACATCACACATCACACAACACACATCACACATACAAGTGAAACTAATATAAGTGTGTTAAACACATTCTACAATTGAAAATTCAGAACTTAATTAATTTTTATGATTTACTTTAACTAAATGAACAAATCAAAACAAAGTTGTTAAAAAGATTACTCAATTGAGCGTATTATAAAATTTTATTATAATTGTAAATATCCATTGTTAATTTAGGAGAAACTATAATTTTTTTTTAGAAATGATTTATATAGCAACATGTTACTAACAAATTTGGAATATTATAGTCTAGTAGTAGCACACACAAAGAGAGTAAAAAAAATTATTAAATTACGAAGTAAGATGATTTAATTTTGTAGTTGAAACAAATTATCATATCCAACATAATTCGTTAATAAATACTTTGAAAACTTTAGAAATTTAATGATTTTAATTGACTGTATGGAGAACATGGGATAAGTATCTGTTTAATTGGAATTTTTTTTCAATTTTTGAGGGTAATATCTTCAACTTGATATGAATTGTAGTTATTTGACGTATCGTTGAAAAAAGTAGGTCAAGTTAGAGCAGAGAAAATAAATGATAGTCACAAAAAAATATCTTCACAGCTTTGCACCAAAACTAAAACTTAAAATATAGTAAAATAATTTTAATATGAATAAGAAATTTTTTCTCGCGAGTGGCAACTATAGTGATGGGATCCTTGATCTTTATTGAAGTTATTGAATCTAAATGAGATAAATATAGTTTAAAAAAACTAAAAAACACGCTTTTAAAGCACATCGAACGAAAAAGTTAAAAATAATTTTTAAAGTAAAGAGGTAAAGAGTCAAATGTTCACAAAAATATATAAAATGATAGATAAATACATAAGGTATCTATAAAAAAAAATTATATTGATTCGATCATTTTTAAAAAAGTTATGGCTTTTAAAGCCATAATTTTTATTTAAAAATTTCGAGTAAAAAAATTGAATAAATGTCGAAAATTAGCGATTTGTATTTTTTTGAAGGATTTCCCTTGTTTACGTGAATGAGGGAATTTTTTTTCAAATTTTGATGGTTATGTCTTTGGCTTGAAACAATTTGTGATTTTTTGACATATTGTTCATCAAAATCGGTCCAGCGAGAGCTGACATTGAGCGTTCACAGACAAAAAAAAATAAAAATATAAAAAAAAAACACATTATAAAATTTAGTACAATTAATACCTTCACAGCTTCGAATCCAAGCTAAAATAATAATAAAATTAAATAACCCTTACTTCCTGTTGAGATATTAGCACCAAATCTTCCACCTAAACATAGAACATTATTAATTATATTTTATTTTTTAAAAAGTATTAAAATTTAAGTATTAATTATGTAATGAACTAATCCTTATAAATCATAATAATTATAAATTTTAATGTTATATTAATAAACTATAGTAATTTTATTATTTTTTAATAACTTGTATTCGAAAGTAAAAGTTAATACGTATATGATAATACGTAATAAATTACTTTTTCTCTCAACAGAAATTTTTTTAAATATGCTAATTAACCATTTCATAAAAAATAATAATAAAATTAAATAATGTTTACCTCCTGTTGAGGTATTAGAACCAAATCTTCCACCTAAATATAAAACATAGTAATTCAATGTTTTTTTTTTAATATTATTATTATTTAAGCATTAATGATATAATTAACTGATAATTATAAATTCTTCTTCTTCTTCTTTTTTTTCCTCGTCTTAATCTCAACTACTTGGGATCGGCCATCCTTATCCTCAATTACGCTCACATTAGCTAACTTCAAATCGCATTCAATAGCGTCCATCCATCTCTTTTTTGGTCTTTCTCTATCTCTTCTTCCCTCAACATTCATTTCTATAACTTTTTTTTATCGATTCCGATTCTTCTCGCCTCATAACATGACTAAATTATCAAAGTCAATTTTCTATCTTCATATCCAAGATTGACGCTACACCTTTACTCCTTGTTATATGCTCGTTTCTTATCCTATCTTCTCTAGTCACTTCACTCATCCATCTATGCATTCTCATCTCTGCTACACTCATTCTCTGCATAACTTTCTTATCAACCACCCAACACTCTGAACCATAAATCATAGCTGGCCTTATTACGTTACGTCTCGCTTTACGTCTCTCTCTTACACATAAAATAATCAATCTGTGATATATTCCTTTATATTCTTTCGTCTTTCTAAAATATGTTTTAACTATAGCAAGTTCATACGATACTGCGAATTCCATAATTCTTTCTCCAGCCTCATTATTCTCACTAAAACCATACCCTCCACGCATTCTCTCATATCCTCTCGTCTCATTACCTATATGTCCATTCATATCTCCACCTATCACCACATCCTCATTGGCAGGTACCCCTTGCATCACCTCATCCATCTCTCACCAAAACACTTTCTATTTTATTTAATCACATCCCACTTGTGGTACATAGGGCACTTATTACATACAGCACATATTCCTCAAATATCAATTTCACGACTATAATTCTGACCCTTTTTCTCATTAATTCTACTACTATACTTTTCATTTCCTCATCCATTATTATCCCAATACCATTCCTTGTACTAGACTTCCCTGAGTATATTATTTTATAACACTCACCTATTTTCCTTGATTTCTCTCCTTTCCACTTAGTTTCCTGCACACACAAATGTTTATTTTTCTCCTCTTCAATACTTCTACTAATTTTCTACTTCTATCAGTTTATGTTCCAACATTCCAAGTATCTATTCTTACATTGTATCTATCATTCCTCCCTAATTTATACTTAAAAATTATAATAATAATAAATTTTAATGTTATATTAATAAACTATTATAATTATTATTTTTTTTAATTACTTGTATTCGAAATTAAAAGTTAATACGTGTAAATATGTAAAAAAAAACTTTTTCTCTCAATTAAACTATGCGAGTTAACCATTTCATAAAAAAAAATAAAATTAAATTAGATAATGCTTACTTCCTGTTGAGGTATTTAAATCAAATCTTCCACCTAAACATAGAACATTAGTAATTCTATTTTATTTTTTAAATAGTATTAAAATTTAAGAATTAATTATATAATTAACTGATACTTATAAATTTTAACAATTATATATTTAATGATAAATTACTGAACCATTAAAATTTATATTTTTTGCTAATTTTTTTATTCAAAATTAAACATTATTACATTTAAATATAAAATATACATAATAATAACTTTTTTTCTGAATTAAACCTTATATAAAGTATGAGATTTACCCATATCATAAAAAAAAATATTTAATCTATATAAAGAAAAAGAAAATACATAGTATTGTACCTCATAATATAGATATATAAACGCTATACTCAAATGATAAATATGATATGTAATATGAATCAAATTTAAAATAATTCATTCTTAGATAATTAGCAAGCTATAATGACTCGTACGTACGCTTTATTTTCTGAGCACTCACACCTTTCATTGCGCCAAAGCATCGTTGTCATTGTTGTCCTTATAACTCAACAAAAATGGAGCCATATGGTCCATTGTATAATTATTGTAACCGCTTTATTTGGTACCTTGTCATATAAACCATTTATACATCAATTAACATATATTAAGCTGATTTAACAATAAACCAAAGAGATCCAAGAGCAGTTGCTATCAGTTTGTTAAAATTTGCTGGACCGTTTGACAACCAAATGGCATGCGTTTAAATTGATATAGACCATCTGTGATGATAAAAGCTGTTCATGATTTTGTTAATCTATCATTAATAGGAATCTGATAGTAACCACAAAAAAGATCTAAACTAGTAAAATATTTGTTACCACAAAGTCTGTCAATCTAATCATCGATTCTTGGCAAAAGATATTTATCTTGTATGGTCTTCGAGTTTAATTTTCGGTAATCAACACATAATCGAACATTTCCAATTTTCTTCTTGACCAACAATACTGGACTGGAGCATGGTGATTTGCTATCATCCACAATATTCACATCTTCAAGTTCATTGACTAAATCAATGACTTGTATTCGTTGGTGAAAAGATATTCTATACGGTCGATACACCCACTACAGGCTGATCGTCATTCATATCAAGTTTCATTTCAGCTAAATGTGTATATCCAATTTGTCGTATATTTTTCGCCACCAGATCACGATATTCGTTTATCACTGTCTTGTAACTGGTCAGCATTTAAGTCCGTGATAACTTCATCTGCATTAACTGATTCAATATTTACTTCACGAGTACAAATTTCGTTGTTGTTATACAACTCGGTGAAGGTTACGCCACGAGTAACTGTGTCACCTTTTTTGACAACGAATTGTTCATTAGACAAGTTCAACACAGGCACTTGTGTTAGCCCTTGATTATCAGTTGAGACTAAACATCGAAGGACCAATTGTTTTGAAGTACGTAGCCCTTCTTCACAATTCAGTTTTCGATAAAATTGAGCTAACCGATATATGTCCAACATGACTTTTCGGTATTACCACGGCCGTAGTCGACCATAGTGGTACTTTACTGTTAAATTTGCATTAATACGACCTAACCTTTAGATTTATTCTCATATTCATGAAATTACGTGACTTCGATCTTTCATCTGATATGTAATGTGCTGCAGACTTTAAATGTTGTAAACACACACACTAAAATGATTTTTCAAAAAAAATTTACGCAGAACCACGCTGAATAAAACACTGCAAAAAAAAAGGTACTAATCTTAACGTATACTTAAACACTATAGAACTAACCCTCTGCTCGTTATACACGCGTTTACCCTACACCTGATCTATAATAAATAATATAAAGTACTCAATAATTAAGGTAAAAGACGTCAAGATTTAGTATACAAAAAATAAGTAAATATATATGTCGGCGAACAAAGAGGCAGGTAGTTCGGACTGGTTGACCTGCTGCCTAGCGTCACAGAAGGGATCGGTACTACCTACCAGGCTGAAAGGTAATGAGGGTGGCTTGTAGTCTTAACGACGGTCAGTGTTCAGAATTAAGTAGATGAAGAAGGACGCAGCAGATATTCCCCCTTTGTTATATTTCATATTTATTCAATTGTGTTTCATTTTGTTATAAGTTATTTTCTTAATAAAGCAAGACAATTTGTGTTTGACCATTCACTATAAGTAAGTTTGTTTTTTATTTTATTGCATAGAATAAATTTGTCTACAATAAACAAATTTACACATAACACAATATTATTTAGAGCAATTCTAAATAAGTTAACTGCATGAGTTCACCTGCGCACAGCTACATTGGGCATAATTTACATAATCAGAAAGAAATAATTAGAGTGTGGTACCTTAACTGTATTTTAATTATTTCTGTTTTATAGTCATCGTTGTCGGCGCACTGCGGTGGTCGATTGACGTCTAGGGTACTCGTGCAAGGCGGTACTCTACTGTTATGTGCCATCGGTACTCTGCGGATACCATGACACGTTTAAGGGCACTGGCTCAGAGCGAGTGTTCTATTGTTCTTTTAGTAATCGTTGTCGGCGCACTGCGGTGGTCGATTGACGTCTAGGGTACTCGTGCAAGGCGGTACTCTACTGTTATATGTCGATGGTACTCTGCGGATATCACGACATGTTAAGGGCTATTTACGCAATACTCACAGATTAAGCTACACGACATAACGCATATAGTATTACTTGTTAACCAGCGTAGGTTACTCATGCAGTTAGGTTATAACGACATTTGATATATTTTACACATGGTAGAGCTTCATACTCTGTTTTTTTATTATTTTATGATTACAGTCCACTCACGAGTATTAACAATATATATTACGTTTAAAACAAAATTAGTAAATACAAGAATATCGAAAGTAATCCGCACGAAAACAGAAGAAGGTCAACTATCTTTATTTCCATCCATACTGGTGATACAAAGGTATAGCAGTATAGCAACGATACAATGACCTCTCCGCTAATTTTATACACTGTATAAACTATACAAAATCATAATAAAAATATATAAATATATAAAAAATTAAAAAAAAAATATATATATATATAAGAGGGACGGTGTGGTTGAGTCGGTAACGCGACAGTGCTTGACGCGCACTGCCTCGGGTTCGAAACTCAATCACGGGTGGCTTCATTTGCCGTACGAGAGATCAATTTGGTAATTGGAGTCGCCATCCCTCTCTCCGGCGACGGTCTAACCAACCATCCTGGAGTATCAATGGTTTAGAAACTTCCTCCTTCAGGGGAGGCCGCTATGGCCCTTAATGGCCTTATTAAGCGTTAAAAATATATATATATATATTAAGGTGGCGGCTATTTACATATGAAGGAAAATTTTTGTACGAAACTTCAGGAGCGCCGGGCGTAAATTTGTTCCTTTATGTCTAAAGATAATCTCTAAAAAATATGAGCTTTATACTACTTGATTAACTGGGCGCACATATAGCTCAAAGTTTTGGAAAAATTTGAAAAATTTCAGTGTTTTACATTTTTAGGATACAGAATTTGTTTTACGAAAAATTTTATAATATATAATATTTTAGCTATTGTAATTTTCTATAAAAAAGATTTTCTTACGATTTCGCGTTTAGTTAATACTTTTTGGTTAAAATAATAAAACTCGACAATACTCGTTATTTATGAAAACTTCCACACATTTGGTTTTTTGTAATTATCTAGTTTAATTTTCGCATTACAAAAAAAAATTTAAACATAAAATTTGTTTAAAATAATATTTTAAATAAAAAACGTTATAAAATAATTTCTCTTAAAACTGATAGATTTTGAAGTATTGATAAATATAATAAAAATATTTTATCGATATGTTCTAATTTTTATAACGTGAACTATTTTGTGTTATTGATATCATACTGTGCCATGATTTCTGGATTCCGTTTGATAAACTTGTTTACTTATAATTTTAGCTTCGATGCGAAGCTGAGAAGGTATTGGTTTTACTAAGATGTGTTTTTTTTTTTTTTTTTTTTTTTTTTTTTTTTTTTTTT